TCTCAAGGCCCTTTGTGTTTAAGGGCAAAAGCAGCCAAGCTACATGGAGGACCAGGTCCAGATACCACAGGAAGTATCAAGTAAGATTCCAACTAGAGAAGAACTTTGGTAAGGGTCTATGGCAGTGTCTGAAGAGGATGCCAACAGATCTCTCCAGGATCTCAGGTAGGTTCCCAGTGAAGGTTCTGGGAACCAACTCTGAGAAGGAGTTTGGAAGACCCTTGAAAGGGGCCTTGGAGGGTGATCCAGGAAAATACTTAGCCAGGGGCCCAGATAAGAAACAACTAGAAAAAACTTTAAAGGTTCATTTGCACAAGAAATTGGGACAGATCAGTAAAGGTCTGATCCCTGTGACTGTGCGTCGATCCTGGTTTGTGGCCAACCATACTTTTCCCAAGTCCCAACCCCACATGGCTATCAGAAATCTAGCACCCTTGAAGGATAGGAAGCCCTGCATAAACACCTCCCATGAGCTGTCCTTCCTTTGTCCTAACACTCAGCAGAAGCTGGAAACACACATAGTAAGTTTTCGAGTGAGGCATAAGTGGGACCTACCTCTCCAAACTGTTGAGCCCATAGATCTCAAACTACGTGAAGCTCAACACTTGCCCTTTCCCCAGTACTCCTTTCTGTGCTCATCCACCTTTGTACCTGGGGCCCCCTCAAAAGCCAAATTTTACAAGTTCTTGGGGAAACCACCTCAGCCCCATCCAGGAGAGAAGGGTATAACTGAAAAGTCTGATCCCACTTCAGGGAGTCCCCTGCCTGTTTCCTCACCCATATGTGAGCAAATACAGCAGGCCCTGGGAGGGAATTCACCTGGTGATGGCCATCCGTCCTCAGAGACGTCTTTATCAAGACAGGAGGGCAGATCACCTTCTCAGGCCTCCATTCTCAGCCTCCCAAACAGAACCCTGCAGAGCAAGACTGTTATGGGGGCCAAGGAAGACAACCTCGAACCAAGTCCAAGTTTAGCAATGGCCAGGAATGAACTAAAAGAGGAGAATGGGGGTCAGGCCTTACCAGACATGGTAGCAACACTGAAGATGAAGCTCAGGTCCCAAACTCCAAGGTCTGAAGGGGCCACAGAGGTGATGGAGGCCAAGAAGGCCCCTGCTTGGAAAGTTGTCTTAAGACCCAGTGGGCTGGCCAACAAACCAGCCATTTATGTGGATCTAAGGAGATCAGGATATCCAGGTGCTAGGAAAAGCCCCTCACCATCTACAGTGT